GACATTCAAATCTATTTGAACATTCAAATCAAATTTCTTATATCAGACTGTTATATTGAACAAAAGTGTAGCAACATTCTTAAACATGGCAACGCCGTAATAAACCTAGCAACTCAAAAGGATCTGGCAACGCGCAAGAACAGCTGCAGGAAGAACGGCAAGCGACCAATAGGATCGCTCAGCGCGACCAATAGGATCGCTCGGCGCGACCAATAAGAAGAGACGGATTCGAGAGCATGTCACGACATCACGTTATTATTGTTTGACTAATAATCAATTAAAAATTCGTTTTGTACCGCAATAAATGGTTAATCAATTAAAGTATTAATTCTCGTTAATGTGTTTGGGTTCCCTTCGACCTATAATAAAGGGTGGTCCTTCGAAAGTCCTCAATAGGGCATCACGTTACTACAACCAAAGATTTACAACTGTGTATTTCATTTTTTAGACCTAGGATCGGCTTTTGTGAACAAATATTCATATTTACACAATAAAGCACATTTTGAGTTTGAGTTTTGAGTTTACTTAAACAAAAAAGCAAACTACCTGTAATAAATAGAGTCAATATCAAGGGAGACCAAACAGAAGCACAGAGAAAATATATGAAAGAATTAATTCAGGAATTAGAAGAAAGAACAATACCTGAAAATAAAGTATGTTCATAGAATGCCCAAGATTGTCACCTTGAGGACTCAACCATTGTCAAACAACTAAGTACCATAGCTGCTGAATCTGAATTCAAACCTGCGTTCTTTTAAAAATAAGATTGATGAGTGGAGAACAAGTATTCAGAAAACCGACCCTACTTTCATTTGTATCACAGAAACTTGGCTTAATGCAGAAATATCAGACGGCCTAATAGCTCTGCCAGGATATCGGACCTTTCGTAAAGATAGAAAGGATAAAGAAGGTGGAGGTTTACTTATATACATAAAGGAAATAGAAAATAATATTCGAATCCATTCATCAAATGAGAACAAATATGATACTTGTGCTCCTGTAGAATCATTATGGGTTAATGTCAGTATAGGTGGTACAAAAATACTACTAGGCTGCATATATAGAACAGATTATGTAAGATCAGATAGCAATACAGAACTGGTCAACACAATTAAAGCTGCTTTTTCCCAACAAAATAAAACAATTATTTTTGGTGACTTCGACTATCGAGAAATAGACTGGAATACTCTCCAAACAGTCAAGCATGATATATCAGCTGAGGAGTTTTTAGATGGTTTCAAAGAAACTAATGCTTACCAATTAGTGAACTTTCACACTAGAATAAGAGGAGACCAACAATCGCTATTAGACCTGATATTGGTAAGTGAAAAGAACTTAATATTTAATATTAAAAGTAACTCTCCGATTGGACGCAGTGATCATGTAGTTATCACTGGCACATCCCAAATAAAGGCAAAAGGGAAGGGGACTTTTAAAAGACAAACGAGAAACTTCTGGAAGGCAGACTACGACGCGATCAACAGCCACTTGCATAATCAAGACTTTGACAACACAAACACCAACTTGACCAAATATGAACACTGTGAAAACATCATCAAAACAACCATTGATGAATTCATACCACTAAAATCCACAAGGAAAAACCCCCAGAAGCCATGGATAAATGAGGCCATATTCAAGGAAATAGACAAAAAACGTAGATTCTGGGATAGGTATAGACAAAACACTACAGATGAGAACTATCAGTTGTACAGATTACAGAGCAACAAATTAAAAAATACAATAGCTGAAGCAAAAATATTTTATGAACATAGAATAATACAATCAAAATCGAACAAACAACTCTGCAAGTACGTGTCTAAAAGTCTAAACTCAAAAGTGTCAACAATCACATTAAAGGATGACAACACCAACAACATTATTACCAGCAATGAGGATACATCGGAAACAATTTATGAACATGTTTACACAAGAGAATGACCAGATTCAACTTTTGCCTAATAGCACTAGAAACGTTAGTTCGCTGAACACCATTGACTTCACACCATTAAAGGTGGAAAACGCTATTCTAAGCCTAAAAACTGAATCAAGTCCTGGTCCACTAAGTGATGCTATGAATGAATCTATGACCTCGGGAACTCTGCCAGCTAGCTGGAAGCAGGCTATTATAACACCAATATACAAAAAGGGTGACAGATTTAAACCAGAAAACTACAGGCCAGTAAGCTTAACAAGCCCTGTTTGTAAGGTTATGGAAAAAATCATAGTGAAGGAACTGGACGAATTCTCAAAGTTAAATGATGTTATACCTGATTCGCAAGATGGCTTCCAGAAGAAGAAATCGACAACAACCAACATGCTAAGATGTTTAAACGACTGGACTACAAACTCTGATAAGAACATACAAACAGATATTATCTACCTGGACTATGAGAAAGCCTTTGACAAGGTGCCTTTCAAAAGGCTTCTCTACAAGTTGAGCCATTTTGGAGTAAGAGGCGGTCTACACACCTGGATAGGAGAATTTATACAAGGCCGAGTGTTTAAAGTGAGAGTCAACGGAGTCTGCTCTTCTTTCCACAACGTAATTAGTGGGGTCCCGCAGGGATCTGTGCTGGGACCTCTCCTGTTTCTGCTGTATGTTAGTGACCTGGCTGAGAACATAAAGACAAACATCACATTTTTTGCAGACGACACCAAGCTGTACTGTGATGCACTGACGCAATATTCGGACATGAAAGACGATCTGGCTGAAATACAAACATGGTCTGAAAGATGGCAGATGAAACTCAATGCTGACAAATGTGTGGTGCTGTCTGTGGGTGCTGAAAATCCAGGAAATGAATATATCCTAAATGACTGTTTGCTGCAGCACGTCAACACGCAAAAGGACTTGGGCATTATAGTATCCAGTGACCTGAAATGGGAGAAACACATCACCTCAATTGTGAAAAAAAACCAACTCTTTCACATACCTTGTAAGAATAGCTTTTAGCAATACTAGTCCCCAGATGATATTACAGCTATACAAAACGTACATAAGGCCCAAGATTGAATATGCCCACTCAGTGTGGAGCCTTTATTAGGTAAAGGATAGAAATTTGTTGGAGGGAGTGCAACAAAGATTCAGCAAGATTCCACAGCAGTTTCGTCACACCCCATACGAGGATAGAATGAGGCAGCTCGGGCTAACATCTTTAGAAGAGAGAAGAACAAGAGAGGATCTGATTGAGACTTTTAAAATTTTGAACAATTACTATGACAGCAACATGCAGGAAATTTTCTCACTAAACTTAAACCCGCATCTCCGAGGACACTCTAAAAAACTGAACAAAGAGAGAGCCAATAAACTGCCGAGAAAAAACTTTCTAAGCAACAGAGTTGTCTATAAGTGGAACTCTCTGAGTGAGGAGATCGTGAGTGCCCCAAGCATCAACAGCTTCAAAAATCGTTTAGACTCTGCAATGAAAGAGATCAATGGCGTTTTTGTGCATTATGTACCATAAAAAAAAAGAAGAAAAAAAAAAAAAAAAAAGAAATAATGAAGAAAAAAAAACCAAAGAAAAAAAGATGAAAAAGAAAATCAAGAGCAAAGTCTAAATTTCGACCTAGCCTGTGAACGGACTCATCGGTTTCGACCGCTTTCCGTTTTAATAAATAAATAAATAAATAAGTAAAATTATACAATAAGTGTTAAGTATCCTTACCGTTTACTTACCACAGAGACGTATTACAACGCTTTACAAAAATGTCCAAATGTTGAAGACATTTATTTGTGCAAAATGGAACTATTGAAACAAGATGAGCCCTGTGTTCACGACATTGTATCTAGTGAACAACAATTATGCCCATTCACGAAAATTCAATATGAAGAATCGACAATTGAAGAAATACCCAATAATCAAATATTGGTTATTCCAAAACGATATATGACAGCAATGCTGCAATGTGACCAGAAGAAGTACATGGAAATCATTTCCAGTCCAATCGTAATTTCCAAAGGTAAATGTTCAATAACAATTAATAATCGAACATTTTTGGAAGACACGCATGAGAACTTCAACCTAGAACATCGAGATTCCTGAACTTCTAGAGAATACCACAACTGTAAGACTAAAAACAGTCGACCACGAAGCTCTTCAATCAGCGATTAAAGAAGTTAACAATTTAAAGACTGACCCATTAAAAGTGTTAGATTTTAAAACCAATAATGTGTCAACCTATATTATAATCATAGTATTAAGTTCTATTTGCATAACCATTATTCTTATTCTATATTTTAGAGGAAAACGTAATAAAACCCAAACTGAGGTGCAGATTGAATTGCCCAACATTGTTAGTCAATCCCAATTTGCAACCACTTAAGGAGGGAGGAGTTATATTGTAAGACTCTATGTTATCTTTATACTAATAATTCTCCTTTCCAATGTTAATTATAAGCGTACGCCTATGTCAATACTAATAAATATATAAAACTGCTTAATCAGCGGTACTGCACTGGTAGTACCACCACCTGCATAGGTAAATGCTTGGATCAGCAAATATTTATTATTTAAGCCAGAGCTTTCCAGTAAGGAGCGTTCATTTGTTTTCAAGCACTCCCTGTAGCAATTTGATCCACATATTTTCCGATTGTCACTATTGTATTTTAATTAATAAAATAAATGTTTTTTAAAAATACAAGTTTCTGAATCGAAAATATAATTCGCATGCGTATAATTTTGAACAATACTATAAATTATTTACTGAAGAAAAAAATAAATAAAAATGTCATGTATTTCAGTGTTTTACATATTATTTACTGTAAATGGCTTGCCCGTTAATAAACTTATGATAGGTCTATAAGTAAAAAAACACCCAATGCTTCCTAAACCTTGTATCTGAGAAGGTAGACGATAACCCAAAAAACAATATAAATAAACATCATTAAAAATAAGCAAGTAAACATAGTATTCTAAAAAAACGCGTGTCCCAAAAAAATACAATTGAAAAAATATCGAGTAAAAAATAATAATTTTTCCAAGTCATCAACTACTCACTGTTATTAGGAGATTGCAACTTCAAAGTTCCACTTTTCCCTGGCGTGTTTCCATATTCGACAATAACACTGCCAGTTGGAGTAGGTAGTGGCGTAGAAGGAAACTTGGGTGGTGTAGAAGATGGCGTCCTGTACAGTTGAGCAGTAGTCATTCTGACCAAGAAACCATCAATTTGCTTGAGAGACAATGCGTTATGTAAAGTTTCTAGTGGTCTTATAGGTGGAACACCTCCAAATCCTTCTGTGTGGAGAGTGACTGAATATAAATGAGTAATTTTAACCAAAAACACCTTACCTGAAGAACTGGCAGTACTTGGAATCATATCGCAAAGATTCGGCGCGCTGGAACTTCCCGATATCACCGCGGTGGAAAACAAACTGTTGGTGCTTCCAGCAATCAGCTTTTTGAATCCAGGCATTCCATAACTCAGTCCCATGAGCTTAAAGTAGCTCATCTGTCCGGCAATACTGTGTCGATGGCGTTTGATGGCTTGGCCGCACTCTGAATAGGACACGCAAGGGTCGATAACACGAGGATTAGCGGGGTGATGAGACAAAGAGCGACGCGAGGAGAAAAAAGCTAGGAGATTGGAAGGAGCACAAAGTACACACTTGTTGGTAGCTTGATGTGCTGGATAGAAGCTGTATGGAACCTTGGAACAGCCCGATTCCATGGGTAGGAGCGTATTGGGACTGCATTCCCTGTTTATGCTTTCATTGTATTTTTGCAGGAGAAATTGTTTGTCTGAACAACTAACCCACTCGTTATCGAGAATATTTGGATCAGAAAATGAACGCTGATGAAGGTTGGTTTTTCTGGGAATTTTTTTATGTTCGTCAATATTTTCTAAATCAGTTTCCCAATTTGCCTCCAATGACGTATCATCATTCTGACTATCAAAAGTATTTTGACGCAATAAGCGACTTTTGAATTTTATATCCGACAAAGGTAATTCATTGGTGCTGCTCGTTTTGCACGAATGTTTAGTTTGTAATTCGGAAGTGAATATTGCTAAATTTGCTTCGGTTAAAGGTAAATCTTGAGTGGAGCTCGATTTTTCAGAGTCGGATGTTGTTTTAGAAAATGTCAAAGGAGATTCACATGGCGATTCTAATTCCAACGATCCAGAAATAGGACTTAGGTTGGGATTGTCGTTCAAAGAGACAAAATCGTATTTATGAAACATATGAGAATCGAGTGGGTTGACATTTTTGACAGCGGGAATATCTATGGGTGGGGTTACGGGAGTGTTAGTGGGAGTAATGGACAAGTCTCTATCATCTAGTAGCTCTTTTGTGTAAATTAATAATAATAAAAGAAAAGTGAGGGTGAATAATGTTTTGTCATAAGAAAAATAAACAGGGAGGTACAAGCGGGGCAGGAGGAAAGAAACAAAATAAAATAAATAATAAGAATTTTACCATTACCAGCCAACAAAACTAAAAAAAAATCCTTGGAAAGTTTTTGTTTGGAATTAATTAGAAATATATTAAAGACTATAGGTTTTTTTATTGCAAATATTATTGACTTTTTTTAAAATTTCGTCTGATTTGATTTTCTATTTTTAACTTTTAATAAACTTTGAACAAAAACTTCACAAGGGTTAGAACCCATTTTACAAAAAAGACATTACTAGACCATCCAAATGTATGGAAAAAGCATATCTTTGATTAAAGAGGAGTAGAACATGCAAACAGTTTAAGATTATAATTTTTGTTGACTATGGCATTTACATAATGTTACTTTATTGAAAAGCAAAAGAGAAATTTTCAGATTTTTACTTTGGAAAAACTTAAAACTTAGATATGAATTTTTGTTTAAAATCTTTTTCATAACAATAATACTAATAAAGCCGAGAGTAGGTCCTACTGTTAGTAGCTGATATCTAGACTGATCCATATGTGCCCCCTAACAATGAGCAGCCCAACTAGAAAAACAGTTTTGTTAAATATGCAATCAAATATTAGCTTTAAATTATTTTGAAATAACATATTTTTTACTTCAATAATCCTGCTTTTTACATTCAGATGGTCAAACAGGGAATCAAAGCATGCAGTTAAAAGAAATTATTTAAAAAGAAAGCAAAGCCTTAAAAAAAGGATAGATATACGGAGGCGGCGCAGTGACAGAGTGAGAGAAATATATCAAACCCTAACCCAAGAGGGAAGGATGTGGTATATCTCCCGTTTAAAACATAAGAAACACCAGTCGCACGGGTTTACCAGACAGATGAGATAATGACAACTTGACTTTGTCCATGCTAAGCAAAGCTTTAACATTTCTGCTCGTATTGAAAAATCATTTTAAACTCATTCAAAAATAATAATCATAATTTTAATCTTAATAGAAACTAACCCAAACTTGCAGAAATCCAGCTTGGCAAAAATAGGATAACATGCTATGCCAGCATATTATGAAAAAAACTACAATAATTACAGATAATAGGATAGTGTGGTATGTGGTAGATTTCCAAAACTACTATGAAAATTTAAACCAAAATACGTACTTTACATGAAACAAAATCAAGTTGTTTAAATGTGGGTAGAGATACTTACAACTGAAAAATATGATAAGCTAATTTGTGTAAAACTTTTGTGGGGAATTATTTTAACTTAGTTTGTTCAGTATTCCGCTAATAGTGGCACCCAAGACTTATTTTAATGTTAAAAATACATAGTAACAAAACACGAAAACGCATTAGCAGAACACTGAGGCATCATCATCATACCTGGATTGTTAACGGCGTCTAAACTTTGATGGAACTTTTCAGCTGCCCAAATAAATTTAGTTATTATTATTTTGTGAGTATACTAGTTCAATAACTTATTGCTAAATAAATGTATCTACTTTTGTCAGATATTCAAATAGAACCATAGTATTGCCTACAATAATTTTTCTAACTATGTTTGTTTGCGAAAGGAATCAAAAATCAGTCAGCGACATACAAATTTTAAGCCAAAAGTTTCCAAAGCTAGAATTCGCCTTCTCACAATTTTCATTTGCTGATTCTATATGTTCATAGTCAAATATGGCTCTAAATACCCCAACTGACTGACTGATTAATGATTCTAGTTACAACAGTTTCAATGCTAAATACTTCAACCAAAATCCTACACAAACTAATATAAAACAACCCTTTAAAAAAAATGGATTACCTTTTCCTTTCCGTGGACTTTTGTGATCATAGCTTCTAGATCTAGGTTCTGGTTCAGGACTTATTGCTCTATTATTATTATAGGATCTGCCGCTAGCCTGAGTCGCCTGGTTGGCCAATTCTTTGGTGAGACATTTGGCTAGCTGTAGAGCCTCGTGGCCGCAAACAGTGTGCGCGCTTCTGTGTATAAAAGAAACTCAATGTCAAATAGCAATCTTCTCTTGTCAATATTTAATAATAATGCCTTGTTTTATTTATTCAACTAACATTATTATGAAAAATTAATAAAAATATACAGCATGGACAAAAAGAATGAAACGCCTACAAGCGTTTGAAAACTTTTTTCTTTTTGAAAAATCGCTCGAACCCGTCAATTTTATTTTTAAGCTGCTGCGCATTTTAGGAGACAAAAAAATTTATACAGGGTGTCTTAAAAATGGTGTTCCTTACATCAACTTTGTTATTTTGAATGGCAACCCTGTATATTTTTGCATTTTTTGGATTCTACGAAAAATTATGGAAATATTTTAACTGTTTCGAAAATATTGACAGTTGAAAATTGACTTTTTTGCAACATTGACAGGCTGTGAAATCTAAACGGCTAGTTTTAGAACAAAACCAATCCCTCATTCTTGAATCCAAATTTGGTGTCAAATGATAGTTTATGGAAAACTCAGACAAGAATGTATGATCGGTGTTGCTCTAAAATAAACCGTTTAAATTTTACAGCAGGTTGTAAAAATAGTATATTGTGTATTTAGGTGGAAAAGTGACACATTCTCGGCCGACAGTGTAAGTTGACGGGCGAGGCGTAGCCGAGGCCGGCAAACACATACTATTTTTTCTGCGATCGGTTAAATACCTGTTAAATGTTTGTCTTTTAGTTCCAATTATTCAGAAATACAAGAATCACTTTCCTGGCCTAGGCCGGAAAAGTGTTTCCCGTATTGTTATTCATTGATTCCTTAGCAACTATTGAAACATAATTGAAATACCAGAATATTGAGTTTTGCGACCTGTCGACCGGTCAAAAATGCTGACATTTCTTGTCAATCGCAGAAAAAGTCAATTCTCAATTGTTGTAATGATCCGGAAAAAATAGTCCCGATAATCACAATGTCTTTACTGTAAAAATTAAATAATAATCAAAAACTGAATTTCCGGTATTTCCAAATCAGAATCGATAAATCAAAAATGAAACAAATCAACGCTAACGTAACTCGAAACCCAGCCTATGTCATCATCTAAAATAAATTCTTAAAATTAATAAAAAAATGAGGCCAGGGTAATTAAATCAAATGATTTATGGCAGTCTTGAACCAATAATGTGTTGACCTCGATAAATCAGGATAAAGCGACATAATTATTCGATTTTTACTAATAAAGATGATAAAAATTTCAAGGAAATTGCATCATCTTAATTGTCATGGACACAGAAATTTCGGGGGGGAATCAAAAAAATATAAATACCGCGGTTTCAGAAGTGGAAGGCAGTTGCGAATTATTAGTTGCCAGTTATCAGTTGAGTTGTCAGTTGAGAGATGAGTTCGCAGTCCAGTCCAGTTTAAGTAAAAGTCTACAGAACCAAATGAGTTTGCCGGTTGAAAATTCGCGGAGCTGCCTCGGAAAACGCGTTCGATTTAACTTGGAAAAAGTAAGGAAAATTGTAAAGTAATGACATTTGAAATTCGTTCAATAATTATGATCCGGGAAAAATAGTCCCGATAATCACAATGTCTTTACTGTAAAAATTAAATAATAATCAAAAACTGAATTTCCGGTATTTCCAAATCAGAATCGATAAATCAAAAATGAAACAAATCAACGCTAACGTAATTCGAAACCCAGCCTATGTCATCATCTAAATTAAATTCTTAAAATTAATAAAAAAATGAGGCCAGGGTAATTAAATCAAATGATTTATGGCATTCTTGAACCAATAATGTGTTGACCTCGATAAATCAGGATAAAGCGACATAATTATTCGATTTTTACTAATAAAGATGATAAAAATTTCAAGTGTCATGGACACAGAAATTTCGGGGGGGAATCAAAAAAATATAAATACCGCGGTTTCAGAAGTGGAAGGCAGTTGCGAGTTATTAGTTGCCAGTTATCAGTTGAGTTGTCAGTTGAGAAATGAGTTCGCAGTTCAGTCCAGTTTAAGTAAAAGTACAGAACCAAATGAGTTTGTCCGGTTGAAAATTCGCGGAGCTGCCTCGGAAAACGCGTTCGATTTAACTTGGAAAAAGTAAGGAAAATTGTAAAGTAATGAAATTTGAAATTCGTTCAATAATTATGTGCTGGCTCTTCTAAGTAATCAAAAGAATTAAATTAGATTAGTTTTGTGTTTTATGGACAAAATGTAAGTACTCTATAGTGACAAGATTTATTTTGAATATAAATGATGAACATGACTTTGTGTGATTAAACTTTGAATTTTATGCCTAAAACTTGAGTGATTTTGACTAGTAAAACTTTCTGACTTTTATCAATGATTCTGAATGATAAGAAGTGAATTAACAAATGACTTTCAATGCATAAAAACAAACTTGAGTGATTGTTACTAGAAAAACTTTTGACTTTTAATTAACTGTGGAACTTTATTGCATTAATATTAATAACTCGAGTGTTTTATAAATGGAACATTATTGAGACGTTAGTCTATAATATTCTTTGATTTAACATAACATAAATAGTTTCGATTTGAGTAGGGATTATTAAAGAAGTTTGAACGCGATTGTCCAATTGAAGATTAAGGGCTATAATAACGAACTAATAAGAATTTAAATAATGTTGTATGTTAGCCAGGATGGCGAAAATTAGTAATTGTTCTAATTAAATGCAATAGTAAATTTTGAAAAGAATCTTGATATTCATGAAATAGAATTGTCTTAAAATATTGGAAAGTTGTTAAAGGAAGCTTATAATAGAATTTATTCTGATTAAATAAACCATTAAATGCAATAGAAAATTTTGAAAAGAAACTTATTGGTCATGCGATGAATTTTGAATTAGGGATTTTATTTTTCAAGTAAAATTTATTGTAAGGTTTTATAAGAATAAGTTAGTAATACCTATATTGATAGACAAATAGGAAATTATTTTGGGTTTTTCAGATAATCTAATCTATCTAATCTGGGTTTTTCATAATTTTAAAGAATTTATATAATTAGGTGAAGGGTAGTTTATTAGGAATGAATCGGAAGTATTGAAATGAGTTAACTTATAGGTTATGAGGAATAGTAGGAATAGGGCGTTTCTTTATTAGTAGGGATATTTCAGTGGTCCTTGTTGAGATTTATTTCTAATCAATCAAAAATTGACATTTCATTTAATCACAAATTAGCAACCAGATAAACTTTTTGTACTCTAGCTTTGAAATTGTTTTGTTTAATATTGTCATAACGATGAGTGGTGTTGTTTATAACAAGTTAAAAAATAGAAATATAGTCGAGTCTTTTTCAAAATACAGTCCACTGAAATTCATTAATTTCTATTACGCAATATCTGCAAGCGCTGCAAAAAGCTTGATCCAGAAAAGCGGTATTGGTAATAAGATCCATATTATCAATATATTCAGTCCTTAATAATAACATTTTGAACGGATGTGAAGTAATTGATTTTATAGAAATAAATAAGGCTGTCAGAACAGGAAGATATTTAGCTGATTAAAAATGTTTTGGTTTTATGTATAATAAAATATAATTCAGTACACCTTAATAGTTTGTTTCTCTCTCTTGCAAATAGACCCTCCTTCCACAGATTTTAGGTAGCAGTTCCAAGTATATAAACACCAACAATATATTGCTCGCCATTTACCATTTAACTAATTACATAGAGTACTTTGGGCGTTTTGCTACACTGTCAATATTTCCGAAACAATTGAAGATAGGTATAGGCATTGGTATAGGACATAATACATAAAATATTTTCATATTTATTCATAGAATCCAAAAATGCAATATCTAATATACAGAGTTGCCATTTGAAATAACAAAGTTGATGCAGGTAACACCATTTTCGAGACACTTTTGTTTTATTTTTTTATCTTCAAAAAATACCCTGATTAGATATAAAATTGAAGGGTCAGAGGAATTTTTCAAAAAACAAATACATAGTTTTGAAACCCCTGTAGGTGTTCCATACTTTTTGCCCACGCTCTATAAATACACACACACAGTGTGTCCAAAATGCGAATCTCGCTTATTACGACAGCTACAGGGTGGCTCAAATTAGGAAAGTTATAGAGAATTAATTGCTCATTTATATGGTGTTGTTCAATTTGCTTCAAAGTTTTCTGTTTCTAGAAGTCCGAGAAAAACTGAAAACAGTTAGTTTTATTTTTTGTCAATAGTTATGAATACTGAAAACCTTTTACTCGCGAGCATACGCTTCAAAGAAATGAAGTTAAAGATACTACCTGTAGTAGGTACCTGTTATTTCAATCTAAGACTCGAGTGCTAAAGTAAACCAACAGATCATATGCTAACATTACTGGACTTTGACATTCCATATGAATTGGTTGTAGAAGAACTCCAATCATGGAAGAACGCAAAGCTACCGCAAGCGGACAACGCATCATTGTGGTACACAGTGACAAAAATGGTTCGAAGCCAACGAGAGGAGTCGGTCTGGGAATAAAAAAAACTCTCCTGAGCAATCGGTAAAACGCCCACAAAATTTGAAGCTGAGGTACTGGCCATAAACATCTGTGCCAAAGAGTATCAAATACAAATACAAATACAAAATATTTATTGATGCCATAACAAAAGTTTTACACAAGTCAAAAAACAGAGATTTTAGGTAAATAGTAATTAAGTGATATCACTAAAATTATTGGACAAATATTCATGTATACTATAAAAACTTTTGGAAATAAGGTACTCTTTGATTCTTATTTTGAAGCCTTGAATTGGTAAGGACCTTGTGTGGAGGGGCAATTTGTTATAAAACAGCGGTCCATAGAAAGACACCCCTGTTTTCATACGATTTATTCGATGAAAATCAGTATAAATGTTGGTATTATTCCTAGTTAAATGGGAGTGAACATTTTCAAACCTCTCATAATCTCCAAGATTTGCTTTTACATGCAATAAGCAACTTAAAATATATAGGCAAGGAACTGTTAAGATATTTAGTCTAGAAAAATACATTCTACAATCAGCTCTGAAGTGCAA